AATTTTGACTTTGCAAAATCATTTCTCACAGTGAATTTTGCCTTAGAACTTTCTCGACTTTTCACAGTGAATTTTGTGATAGCAAAATCACTCTAATGGCCAAATAATGCACCCGACTGTCCATTGGAATGCATCGCTCTCCCTCTTCACGAAAGTACTCAATGTTTCTGGAACGAGGAGGAAGAGTATATTTTACGTTGTTGTTCGCTACAGCTCATCTTTCTTCTTGTCATCCGAAGCAGTCTGGACGTCATCTGTGGCCGCGCCGTCGTCCTTCTTGACGTCGGTGTCGGCATCTTTCTTTCCTTCCGCAGCCACGTCATCAAGGTTGGTGGCTTCGCCTTCCGTTGCCGTGGACGAATTGTCCTTGGCCTTTTTCTTCTCATCGTCCTTCTTCTTTTCGACTGGCTTGGGCTTCTTGCTCAGCGCAGTCACCAATTTCTTGACCGAGGAGATCTTCTTGAGGACTTGACCCGACGTCAGCACGGGCATTTCGTGTTTCGCGACTGCATCCTGCTTGACCTTTTCCTCCTGAACCCACGTCGCCAATTCATCAACTTTGGCGACAATGTCGGCGCGCTCCGCGTCCGTCACTTGCGGCTTCTCCGTCACCCATTGCTCCATCAAATCCTTTGTCGAGATCACATATTGTTCGGCTTTGTTGATCGCTTCGGGCAGCGCCGTCACTTCACTCACACGGAACTCCAACGCATCCAACTGAGCGCGCAGGGGAGTGAAGCGTTCGTTGTACGCCTTCGCGTCCAAGTTGTCGCCATCGTCGTACAACCATTCCTCCGTTGAGTCGACTTCCGACGACAGCTTCTCACGTTGCTCAGGGGTGCTCACCGCCGTCAACACGTCTTCATGCTGACTCAAGTACTCGCGGGCTTCGTACACAAACGATTCGAGGCGGTTCTTGGCTTCCGCATTCGTTTTGCGGATGTTGTCGGCCTTGTCGAGTTCGCTCAAAAGGGCAATCGATTCCTGCTTGGTGCGAACGCTCATGGGCAAGATCGACATGCCAGCGTCGGCGCGGTGAATGTCGTCGGCGCGCACGACAGTCAACGTCGCTCGGTGGACCTTCTTTTGCATGGTCTTGACTTCTTCATATTCGTCCTCGTCAGCGTCCTTAGCCGCTTCCTTGTCGTCCTTCTTGTCGTCGGCGTCGTCCGCCTCAGCATCCTTCTTGTCGTCATTCTTTTCGTCCTTCTTCGCTTCCTTCTTGTCCTTCTTAATCTTCTTCTTCTCCACGACCTCGACTTCTTCTTCCAACGTAGCTTCCGCCTTGACGATGCTGGCCAACCCGCTGGCGTCCAACGAGAACGTGAGGGTCACCTTGGGTTCGCCCAACTGCTTGTCAGCGTGCTTGGTCGCAAAAGCTTCGATCCCTGTGATGTTGTAGCGAGAGATCAATGCCGACGTGCCAGCCGGGAGACCCGACGGCTGGTCATATCGAAATGTGCAGCTCACATCGGTCGAGTGCGCAAACGCGACAGACTTCTTGACGTTGAGACGTTGATATTCGCCAAACAAGGACGCGCGCTTGACCCAGTGCTTTTCCTCGGCGTCTTCATTCGTCGATGGAGCGTGCTCGTGGTGCAAATCGACAAGACGGACACCGATGGGGAACGATGCAACGTCAGTCATGCCGATGTGGCGCACGCGGAATGCCGTGCTCAAGTTGGCGCCGTGGAGGGCCGCGCCGAGAGCCATCGCTTCATCGCCGTTCAAATGGAGACCTAAGTCCCGCTCAAAGTATGTTTTGAGCACCGACTGGATTTTGGGAATGCGTACGCCACCGCCAATGATTTCAATCGCGTCAAGGTCGGTCTTGGCCAGCCCAGTCTTTTTCAGCACAGCCTCAACGGGGCCCAACGCACGACCAAACAAGTCGGCACACAACGCTTCAAACTCGCCGCGTTTGGCACTGCTCTTGAAGTCCAAATCGGCATGCAAACTCGGCACGACAACAGGGATCTCTTCGTTTGCGCTCAGCACAATCTTGGTCTTGCGGGCCGCAGCACGAAGCTTGGCCATCGCGCGTGGAACTTGACGCACGTCGTCACCCTTCTTGAGCTTTGTGTTAAACTCGTCGGCAAACTTGTCTGCGAGGCGGAGGTCAAATTGCGACCCGCCAAGGGTGTCGTCCCAAGCTTTACCGAGAACTTCGAAGTCAATAACCGTTTTGTTCTTCTTGAACCCGTCAGGCACAATGCGGCTCGAGTACTCGACCAGCGACACTTGAAGCGACGTGGATCCCATGTTGTACAAGAGCACGCGCGTCGGCTTTCCAGCTTGAGGGGTTTCGATCGCCAACGCATGTTGGAGAGCGGCGGCCGTGTTTTCGTCAATCAACGACAACACACGAATGCCAGCGATTTCCGCAGCGTCGATCACAGCTTGGCGCTGGGCTTCGACAAAGTAGCTTGGCACAGTCACTACCCAGTCCCTCACTGGGCTCTCTGCAAACTCGTTTGTGATGGTCTTTGCATGGGTGAAAACCATTGCAACAAGTTCTTCGGCGTGGAATGTGAACTGGTCGTCGTGCTTGAGGGCGACGGACCCGCGAGTGTCGTTGTGCGTCAATGTGTATGGAAAGTACTCGGACTTTACCATGGATTCGACGACAGGATGCGTCACGGTCGTCCCAAGCAGGCGGCGGATCTGAGAGTAGGCCATTTGTGGTCGACGGACTTCAATGTTCATGGCGTCAGCTCCAAAAAGGCGTTCTTCGCCATTGAATGACACGATCGTCTCGGTCTTTCGCTTGCTGTGCACATTGGTAACAATCTCAAACTGTTTGCCTGGCTTTACGAGCGCGATCTTGAAGAACTCGCCGCCGAAGTCGACACCCGCCAGGTTACTCTCCACCACGGCCGGCATGTGCACGAAGACAGCGGCAATCGCCATCAGAAACGACACAGCGGGAAGCTTCATCTTGCTGTTCTCTCGATGCGCTGTGGAAACCGAAATGAACTTGGCAACTCGCCTAAAATGCTTCGATGCCACGTGTTCTTAACATTGGGGTAAAAAATGCACGCTTTTGATTGGTTACAAAACTATCTTGATCACACATGATTCGCTAAAATCAAAGTATTTTGACCAATTAAAATTCTCATTTCGTGGACGAATCACATTGCAAGCTTCCAAATCTCTCGAAGATTCAACCGATGCAACCTCGGAGGAAGTGCAGCCTTCCTGCGACGCGCACCCGCTCCTTCAGCATGTTAGGGGTTACGTCTACCGAAGATTATCACAACTTGCTTCGATGCGCGAGACATTGACGGACGAGAGCTGATGCCTCGACGGCCGTTCCCCACGCCAGGCAAAACCCAGACCCACCATGTCCTACACGCATCAACCACGGTCACTCGTACAACACGGACCATGAATTTGCTCAAGCAGACTACCGTAATGATGAACGAGATGACCTCCAGACGGAGTAGTCTCAACTTCGATGCGAACTCCACCCTTCCGCTCAGGCCGCAGCCCTGCACGCGCAGCAACCATCTTGGCTCGGGCAACACTTGGCACGACGAGGGCACATGTCCGTAGAATGCGTTTCGTGACTTCCTCCAGAACATCCGTGTTCCACACATTGTTCTCGGCAGTGCCGCCGCAGATGAGGTTCCCGTTTGGTCGTGGAATCATGTACGCGCCTGAATCTTCGTCGCAAATTGCAGAACGGATCCAAGGAGCGTGAACCATCACGACTTGTCCCTTGCATGGAAACATGGCAGGATCGTCTTTGAAGAGCCCCGTGCAGTTGACGACGACTGTCCCTGGCGTCGCCAACTCGCGGAGATCGACGACGTTTTGAATGTTAATATGGACGCGGCGCGCTGCCAATTGATCCTTTAGCCAGTTGAGGTAGACCCCCATGTCAGCAACGACAGCGTCATAGTGCTGCAAATGGTGAAATGAACGGAGCTCGGACGCTCCGTGGGCTTGAAGCCACTGCAACATTGCGGGAGACGTAAGATCGGAGCTTTCTCGATAGGAAGGAGCCATCGCTTTGGCAGCGATGTTCGTCTTGATTGGATGCTGACTCACGGTGATGTTTGGAACAATGTGCATGCCGCTCTCAGGATAGTCTCTACGCACGATACAATTGCATTCCCAGGAGACTTGGTTCGCATGTCATACCGCATGAGCTGCACGTATTTGCGAAACGTAGCTTCGCACCACTTCAGCACGCTTGGACTCGCTTCCATACGATAGGGAGGACTGTGTTTTGCGTTGTTGCCGTGAGAGGGGATGTGAAAGTGGGTGCACCTTACCATTCCCAGAGGGCGCCAGCAACGAATGACGTTGTCTTGTCAGGGCCGTCCTTCGCAACGATGGTGATCTGAGATGGCAAGATGCCGTCCTGTATGAGTTGGAGCGCCGTGGTGAGGCCAACGACGCCTGCGCCAACAATCACGACCGCGCTAGACATCCGTTTCTCGGCAAGATTGCAAATCCGAAAGTCAACCGCATTGAAATACCAATACAGCCGTCGCAGCAACAGATAACATTACAGAGGTTTTTAGCCGTCGCAGCAACATATAACGTTACAGAGGTTTTTTCATTCCCATGCGACCTTTCAACCTATGTCGATGGAAGTAGCGCAGCTCCAAGCGACCAAGTCGGAGCTTGAGCGAGCCTTCCTAAAGGAGCGAGATAGCTCCAAGTGGACAAAAGAGCACTATGATGAGGTTGATGACGCTGCATGGAATGACTATGTTCATTCCCATTTCCCACGCGTAGCTGTGTGTTGCCTTGGACAAGGCACTGGAATGTGGCCTCGGTGAGCCTCGCGACAAGCTCGGGATCGGCGCTGTCACGCTCGTCCAAGAGGTTCTCCATGCGTGCAACGCGTACGAGAAGGCGCAGATCAAAATTCAGTTGAGCAAGTCGATGGTGCGTTCGACAGGCAGCACGTGAGTTCTCAATGGGGCGTTTGGCGTGGCACTGGTAGGGCCCCGACGACATTCGCGTGTGCAACGGCAAGACTGTGATCATCGAAGAGTGCGCGCGCATCCTCAGTGGCTTGAACAACTTGAGCCAGCAGAGTTGGAACGACGCGGTTGTGGCCCCGGAGGTCAACGGACCCATCATCTTCCATAACTCTCGAATCGAAACCATGTCCAACGACGTGCGCTCCAATGTCATCTTGGTACCTCCCGATTCGCTCTCTTTCAAGCTCTTGTCCATCGTCACGTAGATCCGAAAAGCGTATCGCCGCATGGATGGCGACATGTGGCGGGTGGAGGACGGCCTTCGCATGGTGAGCGATGCGGTGTCTCAATACGACCGCCTCGTACAACGTGTGGAGTCAGAAGTCACGTCGCGCGAGCGCTTGGAAGCCGACGCGCGCATCAACATGAACAGAACCAAGCTGCAGACGACGGCCGCCATTGCCCAAGAGATGTCACAAATCAGCAGCGGAACCAACGCGACCCCGACGTCACTGATCCATGACGACCAGCGCAGGAATACGCTGATGCAATCCGTCGCGGCGCGGGCGACTGCTATCGAGATGGTCGATCTGCAGCACATTCTTGCCGAGCAAATGCAGCAAGCAGTCGTGGCCGACGATGGGCGGCACGATGAAAAGTACGACAGATTTGATGGAAATGCCACGACAATGCCGACGGACGGCGAGGGCGAACAGTTTGCACAATCGCTCTTTGGCAACGTCGACGTCGACACATCCGACGGGGCGCAGGCAACGCCGACCACGAGCAAATTGAGAGCCAAGCGATCCCAGCGACTGCTGGAACAACGCCTGGCAACAGTGAAGCACTTGGAAGGACTGCAAAACCAAGGAAGCGCACCCGTGGACCACGTCGAGCGAAAGGAAGCCCTCCACGGTTCTGGCGGCACGCCATCCGCTGTACGGTGCCTGACACCGCCGTCAACTCGTGTTCATGGTCGCTTTAGGACCACTCGGGATCTCGTCGCAACCGATCGATCACGTACAAGTACGTCAGAACATTGGATTCTCGACCATCCAGAGCCTGACACGGCGCCGCGCGTAGAGCGAAAACGGAAGCGGAACGCGTCCGGCTGGACGACATGCGAAGGGCTCGGGAGGCTGTGGACGAAGGCGCGGATGACACCGAGGCAGAAAAGAGCCTGCGAGCCGACGCTCGCAAATTTCTCATGAAATACACCGGCGACATATGGCGAGCAACCGCTCAAGGCGAGTTGGACGTAGTTCAAAAGTTCTTTCTCGTCGAGTCGACGGCCAAGTCAGTACCGTTGACGTTCTGCTGCCCCCACACCTGCCTGGATGCACCATGGCAACTCATTCAAACTGTGACAGGCTGCTCAACTTGCACAATAAGGCGCCAGGACAAGGGCGGCGAACGTTGCTCCATACAGCAGCATGGTGCGATCTTAAAGTCACGTGAGGCAAAGTAATTGCGACGTCGTGATGTAGGCGTAGTCAAGGAGCTGTGGTCGAGTACTTATTGAAACTGGGGGCCGAAGTAGACGCCATTGACACGGTGAGAACCCTCATGGCAGAAAGGGAGTTCGGTGGGCACATGCATCACGTCTCCATGTCCTCACCATGCAGATTCACAGCAAGACGACGGCGCTGATCGAGGCCGCGCGTGCGGGGCATACCGGGATTTGCAAAATGTTGCTGGACCACGGAGCTTGCTTAACCCACCAAGACGTGCACGTAAGTAGCCATGGCATGACCAACTCGATCGGTCTCATGCAATGTACTAAGGGAGACACGGCCGTGCACTGGGCAGTGCGACGCCAGTGGCACAGCCTTGCCGTGATTCTCGTCAAGCATGCCGAAGTCGTGACGCAGCATTCGACCGTGCGCGTGTTTGCTCTCGAGGTAGTGCCATCGCATCTTGCATGCCGGCACGTACTCAAGCCAGTTTGAAGAATTACCAAGGCTTTACCTGCCTCGACATGTGCACGACGTCGTATATGACGGACTTGGTCAAGAGAGAGTTCAACATCACACCCGTTTCGACTCGTGATCAGCGCCGCGAAGCCAAGCGTCTGGGCCTCAAGAAGATGCAGCGCGCGTCGTTGCGGATGGTCATGCCCACGGCCGTCTCGAACCAGCACCCCCAAGTCGACGACCTCTTCGACAACCTCGTACAAACCAAGTCCCAAGTGCTCGAGGGTCTCAACTCCCTCGGTCTCGGGCTTGAGACGTATGCTTACACGCGGTGACCTGCGCGGGGGGGCATTTCAATGATGGCCATGGCGTGAGTAGGACGCCATATCTTACGTTTGAAAGCGGTCATTGAAAACAGCGGCAGGTCTTGGGTTCAATGTTGCCTCGACGGAGCTCAGCTTGCAGCTGGCCGTCCGCTTTGTCTTTCATTCGAGACGCGCCAGACGAATGAGCGTCACCGCCAGCGATAACATCGAGGCATGGAATGATATTGTGCCTGATGTGGGCCCGGGGGGATCCAGCGGCGGAAGCCCTCTTGTAAACTGTTGGGTAATTTGGGTGCATGCCGCTGCCTTGAGGGCAACTTTGGTCTTGATGGTTTCGCCAGCCCACGACGTCATTTCCACTTCGGTCTCTTCGAGTTCGACGCCGAGTTTGGTCGTCATGAAGTAGAAGCACGGGAGAAACGGTGGCGCGGCGCCGCCGTTCACCTTCATTTCCTTCACCCCCGACACCGTGTTCATTGGCTGGACGTACAGCCAAAACTTGGAGCTTCCTTCCTTCGCACACACGACGATCCCACCATTCGTTGGGCAGTCCACAAACTGCCACTCGATCTTGTACTTGTCTGTGAAGTGCCCTGTGAGCTCGTTAAAGAGCGGCAGCGTCAAGTCCAAGTCGCCAAACTTGCACTCGGGGCACCGATCCGTCACCTGCGCAAGAACCGTTCGATTGGACGTACATCGCGGGTCCTTGCACTCAATTTGGACGCAACGACCGCAGTGCAATCCGCTGTTGTACTGTTTGTCGTTCATGGCGACGTGATACAGAGTCGCGTTGGGCAAGGGATGCATGGGAGCACAGTTGCCAGAGGTGGCGTTGACGCCGTCAGGACCACCATACGTCGACGACAAACCGGCGTACGTCCTGGCGGCATCAACAAGACAGAATGCGGCAGCCAACATCGCGGCAATTCGCAAAACGAGCGGCACCGGCCTAGACACCATTGACACACGACAAGTGTGCATCGCTCGAGCTGCTGGATCAGACGGTGCATTACACATACTGCGGGTGTAGGAACAGTCCAAGCAGACACCAGCTTCCGTCCGCGGCCACAAAGAAGGAAATCACGGGCGGCGGTCCCATCCCTTATCGTTCATTCCAAATGTGATGCCGAATCCCACGCAAGGCTTGTGCAAGGAGACCACGCCTACCGTGTGTCGTCTAGCTAGGTAGGTCATGCTAAGGAGTTTTGAATTGTCGGCGAGTCGTGGGGGACGATGCGATCGAATACCAAGGTTCCATAGCAGGACAAACACAGCTTTGCACCGTCCCATCTAGCGCGAGCGCCTCAGCTTCTCATGTCACCACTCTCTGTCCTGTTCCATCGCCGACATGTCAACCTCTGGAATACGATAACGGGGTATAAAATGCAAGAGGATTGGTGCCGCGTGGCATTTTTGAAAGTGCATTTTTCGTCGGTCGCATCATGGGCGGGTGGTTTTCCAAGAAGAAGAAGGACGACGACGACGACGTCGAGGAGGAAGAGGAGAAAGGTACCGCTCCATTCAATCATGTCGCTCTGATACGTCTGCGACAGAATATACGAAGATCGACACGGGGGACTCCACGGCAGTCAAGTACCTTCTCGACGACAAGGTTGTCGAGTTCTTTCGCGAGGAGCAAAAGAACTCCGTCACGATCAACTACAAAGTGGACAACCTAAAACTGCTGCTGATGGCGTTTGCCATTACCGTGTCGGCAGGAACGCATTTCAGCGGCGTTCCGTTTCCTGAAAGTCGCTACATCGTCATCGCTTGTGCTGCCATGTATGTGCTCGCCACCGAATTCTTCAACATGTTGTTTTCTCACATTTCTGACTGCCCGAGTAGTTTCTTCGTTTGCAATGGCCTCTTAACAAGCTTCATGTGGTGGGTGGAGAAGGACATCATTCTGCGCTTCAGTCTGAAGGCAAGTCGTGGCATATCATGCGTCATCGATTCACAACAATCTTCTAATCTACTACTACCTTAGGACAACGAAAAATGCGTCGTACGCGCGCAGTTCCCGAAATTCCAGGAGTATTACACGGTTGGCATCGAGTCCTTGGTGAATTCAAGCAAGCACGTCGAGGAGAAGCTGTACGTTGGGAGGTTCTTTGACGAGGAAGGCCATTTCGATGAAGCCACGTTCAAGGCCGAGATTGGAAAACTTGCGACAAAGTTTGCAAAGGATAAAACCACATAAGCACAGCATACTCTAACGCTACTCTTTGCATTGAGGTCGGCACCCTCAGAAAAATGGCATATGATGGATCCATCCAATGACATGGCCCGAGCCCAATGAGCTAGATGGTCGTGTCCGGGTCTTTGTACGCGACCATGGCGTCCACTTTGTGCACCTGCCCTCTTATGAGTCCCATGTCGAATGAAGTGGTGCGCGTGGGAGAGAATACCTTGGTGGTGAACGAGCGCAGCCGGACTTCGACGGAGTTCTCGACTAGTCGCGGATCCGATTCCTCCCATGTTTGAGGCACATGCACGTCCTTGTCTGTGTACACGAGCAGGTCGAATGTGCACGGGTCGTTGTGCAATGGCAGGAAGGACACACTCGCTGTGATCTGGCGCATGATCGCTTGGATTTCGTTCACGATGTCTTTGACAGGTTTGATATCCACAGGTTGGACGCTGATGGAAGGCATGAGAGAACGGTATGCGGCACAGACGCATGTACCTGTGGGAAGTAGGGTGCGGCGAGTCCGCATGGATGTCAAACATCCATCGCTCGAGAACTTCGTCCGTGTTTGCGTTGGTGACCACCAAGACGGTTTTCTGCACTTGACTCTCTACGAGCCATCCTATTGCCAAGTCACACTTGTCAATGGCCTTCACCGAGAAGGAGTACCAGCCAGTTGTTCGAGGACGCTCTTGAGATATGCGCTGAGTTTCTCGTCGGCTGTGACGACCATTGCAAGACCGTACTTGGGGACTCGAGTAAATGTTTCCGGGGGGTAAATGCCTCGTTGATACAGGATGCTGGGGCACGTTCAACTCACATGGGATGGAACGATCACGTACTTGTTGATGCAAAAGCCAAAGAACTCCGTCACGAGTTCAGACGACCCTCTCAGGGTAATGGGAACCTGCGGTTGCTGACGCTGGTGCTATCATGCAGTCATCACGTCGTCCTCTTCAAGGGGTAGCGATCGATGCCACGCTTACCATGGCAGTGCCTTGCATTTCCTCGCAGTGAGTGTTCTCTTGTTCGACGATGCGGATTGTCCGGATACGATGCCGTGTTGAAATTGCTGTGAAATTTCAACACTATTTGATGCGGAAACCGTTTCGTCGATGTGCGCGAGTTGAAATGCACTCGCAGCAACAAGACAACCACACGAGAAGGATGCTCCATTTGTTGAGATATTCCTACGTGCGCATGGACACGTAAGCCCCCGCTAACTGTACCGGGTTGCGAGCTCGTGGTAGCAGATGAGCCACCACTATGTCGGGACAGAAACTTGACACGGAAAAACGAGCCACTGCCGCAAGTCTATGCGAGTCGTTTAGCGTAGTACATGAATATGAATCGCCCAAACAGCGTTATTCTAGCAATTTTCGAGTCTATCATGCACCTCACTATCTTGTTTGGTATCTACAGCATGGCGTTGCTGGCTGTGACCGCTGCTCCTATTGACTCGGGTTTCGTCGGGTTTCCAGTGGGACCACCAGGGACCGTCTACTTTGTCAAGGCACAAGCGGTTGCGGCGGACAAGGCAAATACGGAATCCGCGGCTGCCAACCACTTCGACAACCACGAGGACTCGAGTGCTGGAAATATCGGACTGCAGGAAGACGTCGTGTTGATGAAAAACCATGCGAGTGCCGCTGCAAATGACCGCGGCTTTGACGACGCCATCGCGAAAAAGAACGCAATCCAAATGTACGATGCCAACCAAGTTGCCAAAGGCGCTGTATTCTTTGGTCGTCGTCTGGATGATTTTGAGTGCGGGGCGCGGGATGTGGTGTTGGCTGCGGCAACTGCGGCGGGTACATTGACGACCCCACCCCTCCGTCAGGGTTTAACGCCGCCAAACAATCGGCGGATGCACTGAGTAAGGTGGACGCGCTCAACGGAGCAAGCCAAGGCCGTGAAAGCGACGCCCACAAGCGCGCTGATTCGAAGGTTGTGGAGAGACACAATGTCGATTTGGAAGGCTTTGCGGAGTCGAATGCGAAATCCAAGGCGGGGGCGCACGCCTCATCGAATGCTAATTTCTTCCGCAATCGCCAGGTCGAACAAGCGCGTCGGGTCGTTCAGAACAATGGGTTGTTCTATCGCCGAACTTTGCCTGCCAGCAACTAGCTCGGCGTACATCCCGTAACTCTGCAACATTCTAGTATTCTACCGTGCATACACTCCACTTCCCCCGTCAATCTCGCTCGCCGATGGAACATCGCACGCAACATCCATAGCAATTGTGCAAGTGGTCTAAGTTGGTGGTGCGACCCATTCACAAAACGAGACATGACCATGCTCTACTTCGTTTACTTCGTTGGTTGTAGGTATTGCTTCCGTACTCAAGTAGCGACAACCCAATTCGTCGCAAGTGCATGCACCCGAGTCGCGGGGTTTGAAGAGCCCTGCCCCTGCTATCCACATGCATGTGCGCTGCTGATGTCCATCTCGCCCACGCGAAGCGATTGCTGTTCGCGTTGTCGATGAAGTTCAACTTGGGCGTCGTTGCCATGGAACCCAGCAGTAGCCAAGACGAAAGCCACCATAATCAAGTTTTGCTCAGATGGCCGATGGCAACTCACTTGGTGCTGTTGGTCCACCCACAACATGTCGACACGTTGTACATGAATCTGCCTGTGAATCTGAGCTGCTGGAAACCCTTTAGTACTGCGCCGAATTCGAGTGACATGTGCCACAAGCGTCAGGACACGGCTTGTGTGCAACTTTGGTATCCTTGCGCTGTTTGCAGTTGCAACAGCAACTTAAAAAGCCTCGTCTCGTTTTTGGCAACAACTTCTCGACGCAGCGAAGCAAACCCCGCTCAAGAGAGATCTTTCGCCCGTGACGGAATGATGTGCGGGGGGTTGGCGTAACGGCATGCAGGTCGTTGCGCTAGTCCCGGGAGACTTCCTTTGCGATGGTCCGCGTTGGCAAGGCGTGCGTGGGGATGGTGAAGAAGGACTTACACGGACCGGGGGGAGGGGGGCAGGCGGTGCGATGGACCCTCGTGCGACCTCGAATGCATGCCTCACTTTGGCACCATTCTCGCCAACACGATTCTAAACACCAACCCCGCATCGTTTCGATGATGGGTGGCCCTTCCATGACGCCCACACACTCCCTTCCAAGATCGAGCGTTGCCAACGCGGCGACCCATCCGCCGCTTCCTCCAGTTGGATCGCCGGCGGGACTTCCGACCGTTTAGTATCTCACGTGTACCTGTATGAGCCAATCAAATCCACGAGACGGAAGGAGTCATCCAATCGGGGGCTTTCTTGAAGTTGCGAAAGCGCTTGTGGCTTGTGCACAATGTGCATCCATGTTCCACTCGTGTTCGTGTGGCCCGGCCCACAAGGCAGCGTTATCCGCCGCGATGCGAACGCGTCCAAGTTTGGTCTCTTTGTAAGCGTGTGCGAGCAAGTTTTGCCGTGGCACGCACCCCCGAACGCGTTGAAAAGAGCCGCTGCTCGTCGTCGCGTCTCTCGGATGTCGCACCTCCTGGATGTTTGGTTGGATTTGCCATATTGGCCAATCAAATGCGTCTTGGAAGATTTTAACCAATCGAATCACGAGAATCTTCGAGCAACCACAATCGCATTCCCTGGCTTTCGTGGTGTCCCAAACGAAACGAATGCGATTGTCTCGAATTGCCTCATTTTCAAATTTTCGCGCGACTGCCGACATGTTCAAGTGTGACGTGATTGTCGACTCGTCGACCATGACGGCCTCGACCAAGTTCCGCACGGATAGACATTACCCGACCGTGGCGACAGAAATGGACGCATTCGCATACCTCGACTCCCCATCTTTAGACGACCCCGCCGAAGACTCGAACAACGACGTTCCATCGACATCGTCGCCGTCATTGACTCGCGCAAACAGCTCACCGTCCATGACGTCCGCCAAGCCGCAACTTGTTCACATTCGCGCGCCGTTGAAGGAATCTGTGTGGAGGCAAGGACTCCCTGCCGTGATTCAGTGGAACCCGTCCATGGCCGGTGTGTCTGAAGTGCGCATTCTGCTCGTTCAACGAAGCGGGGCGTACATGATGGTGGCAGACCATGTCGAGAACAATGGTCTGTTCGTGTACATGCGCGTGCCACCGGGTTTGGCCTCTCCCGAAGCCGACTATTTCTTGCGGATCATGTCCATGGATGGCAAACATTTTGTCGACAGTGACTCATTCATTATCTCGTCGTAAGTGGATGTTCGATTGCAGGACACCCATGATGCGACCCTAAATTAATCGATCTAACTTAACTTCTCAGTTGCCTTTCGTCATGGGCTGTTGTACACGCATACTAGGCTGCTCTAGAAGTCTACGCCATTGCATCCCGAGGGATCCGTCCTGATTGAACGGCTGACGCCACCCCATCGTCGCCGCCTTCTCGAGCCCATGTGCCCAATCCTTGTAGCGACTAATGGGTCATGTTCGAGAAAATACCACAATAGTACCATTTCATCACTTTAGTGCTCATGTTTTGTTTCGAACAAATGTAGCAAACAGGCACTAATTCGATGGCCCTATCCCCATGCAGCGCGTCGGAAGCATCTGCGAAAGTCTCATCACAACCCGCGAGTGGTCCACCGCGACTTCGAGAAACGGTGCCAGAGGCCGGTGCAGGACGGTACTTTCGTGTATCGTTGCCGAAATACAAGAGTCGTCAAGAACTGTCGTCATCCCCGCCGCACGCGATCTCGCATAATTGAACCAATCCACTCGCCGACACGTCTGCAGAAACATTTTTTTCAAACTACTGACGACAGTCATTTTGCAATTCTTGGCGAGGGGGGTGTCTCGCCCGTCGTGGTAAAAACTGGTCTTAATGGGTACGTCACGTCAATCGGTTGTACCCGTATCTTGCTATCTACGCCAGTCTTGCCACGCAGTTGAGCGCGCCAACATGCACGCCACGGTACATTTGTGGTGGCGATGTCGAGTGCGCGCTTCGCATGTGGGAGGCATTCACTGGTGGATGCGATGTTGTACCAAGGCGTTCCGAACGCGTTGGAAACAAGGTGAAGGGACAACTGTGAAAAGTCGAGAACTCATTGGTCGATCCCAACTTCAAGTGCGGGAACCGCAATCTTCACACTTTCAAATTTTACTCGACCCCAACAGGAGGTTTGACATCATGCTGCATTGCTCCCCCGCCGTCGCTCTGTCCGACAAGCGAGAACCCCACGCGAATGCCCTCTCGCCACCTTCCATCATCAGGGCGCGAAGTAATTATGTGGACATTGCCCCCTTCTCCGAGCCGTTGGCACACTCTCGTCCGAACTCGGACACCCCTACTTTGCCGCGTTCAAGGAGTGCCCCTTCCCTTGCAGCATTGGATGTCGAAACACCAGCGTTTGCATTGCTCCATTCCCCCAACAAAGACTCGGTGTGGCGTTGGGGCCAACCAGCATTTCTCATGTGGGAGCGACGAGATATGTCTGTTTCGGAGGTTCGCATCGTGTTGCGACGAAAGGGGGCCAACACGTGCACTATCATTGCAGACCATGTGGAAAACAACGGGTTGTTCATTTACAAGGCAGTACCAACAGGAACTCTCCCCGCCACTGACTACTTCATCTCGATCATGTCCATGGACAGTACCCAGATCGTCGACGGCGACAGTTTCGCCATCGTCGCGTTTTAGCTGAAGGGCCGTCTCATTGAATTCTATTTATTTCGTATCGTCGAAACGTCCAAACCCAAACTCGAGAGAAGGCGCTGTGCGAGTTGCACGACGCTGAACGCCGACGGCCAATGGCACAGAGCGTTCTTGAAGCTCGATGACATTGCTGCTCGGTTGGTGTGCGTTAAGGTACATGGTTGAGGGTCGTTGCGTGGACGAGGGAGACGGTTGACAGTGTTATTACATGCACGACAAACACCAAGTTGAGCGCAAATGGACTCTCCCACTCCACAGTGCTGATGTTTCGACGCCGATTCCTGGCGCTCCTACGATAGGGGCATCGCAGTAGACTCGGTGCCGTTCTGCATCTACATTACAACCCCAATGTCGTCCGATGTGGCGTACGTTGTCATCCACGATGACGTGTCCAAGAATGCATGGAGTGCCGCACTCCTCTGCGCAGCGCGGACGGGGCCACAAGACGTCGAGTTTCCCAAGAACGACACGTCGTCACTTGATTTTGTCTTTTCCGCGCGCATGTCCGAGTTCCGCATCACGAATGGGAAAGCAGTGGGCCTTGCACAACTCAGTCCTTGTCAACCTGACATGCGCCGCCCCAGGAGTACAAACTGCGGTGCTGCGCCCGCTTTGGTAACAAGGCGTACAACCGCAAGCTGTCGACGGAGTGGGATGTTTGGCGCCGCTACTCTCTCGTCGCGGCCTTGGATTCGTGCGTTGCATCCAGCACATGGCCCTTCCTCTGAATAACTCGAGTAGGGAAGTGCGCCGCGTCCTCCCGATGCAAGCGACCCTTCTCCCCCCCCGCGCCTTGTGTGTCGGTCGTTGTTTGGCACGCCGCATGGCTCGCGCCGGCTTGGACACATACGTTTGCAACGTAACTCAGTACTACCATCCATGTAAACGAATGTTGACAGGCTGCGGCCACGTCTGCGACCTCCGTGACTCAGTCGTGTTCTTTCAGAGTGGGGCGAGCGCATTCCTCAACGAGTGTTCCGTTCGAATGCTCGACTACATCCATCTGCAGGCGCTCGTTGATTTCGACGCCTATTGCAAGCAAGAAGTGCGTGTATCCTTCGCTGCACGACGGCGACACGAACGCTTGTCCAGGACGCAGAATTCAAAAAGGAGGAAGCTCCGAGCCGCCAGAAATGTACGCTGACCCAGGTACCTTGCCGTGCATGCCGCTGGGATCTTCCATGGTTGCCATAGACAAAGAAGAAGCCACAAACGCCGCCGACGCCTCCTCCAGTTGAACCTTCGTCCCCCGCTGTACCAAGTTCCAAAGACAACCCCATCGAGCGAAACTCACCTTGCGAAAAGTCAGCTGTGACAACACACAAGAATTATCTCCGACATCGAGCAGCAAGAACGCCAAGTTGAACAAAGGGACGAGAGGCGCCGAGGGGGCATATGACTTGCTCGCTGTGGCGGCGAACACAGAGCCAACCACGACCGAGACAATGCCAGCAACGTCCACTTCATTTTCATCGTCCCCTCCACGCCCCGATCGAAGCAACCTCCTGGCACAGATTCAACAAGAGATCAAGTTCAAGGGCGTCGGAGCCTGAGCCGACGACACGCACCCGCCCGCTGGTTCCAGAAAACCAGCCGCACACGTTGCATTTAACGAATTGTTAGCCTTGCCTTCTTCTACTGAATTGGCGATGTGGACGAGGTGGTCGCGGCGCCGTCTGTCAGTGGCGAGCTCGCACTGTGGACGTTCTACGGAAAGAACCACATGAGTGTTCGACCAACTTGTGGCCACGTCAGTCTACGGCAGTCCTTACCCTGGACAATCGACGAGGGGCCCCACCAAACACTGGCTTCATGTACTTTTCATCGACGTTGCCCCAAAACGACTCGACGTAACTGAGCTCCGACTCGACAGACAAGCGGCGCAGGCGCATCGACGGCGACATGGCTGCAGTATTTGGGGAGTCGCTTCCATGGCAGTGATCGGACGCAGATGGCTACACACACTCATGAAGGATACCGCATCACAGTCAGGAGGCATCCATGGCGTACATCATGCACCGCAATCAGTCCGTATTCCTCATCTTCATGGTCGCCCATGTCCATCTCGAGGTCGTCGTCGTCGATCTATACAACGTGGAATAAGCTCTCGATGGACTCACGTTGCCACGTACTTTAAGCTTGGTTTTCTTGAGCAAGGGCTCGGTGAGCCCACCGCACACGATGGTGGTGAAGATCACAACCGACAGCGTTGTTGTCGTGTACAAATCTCGATTCGCCCCCGGCATATCTCTACAATCGAACGAGATCATCTCGGGATCGTGGGCCAACGTTGACCACGAAATTCGTGCCAAATGATGGGTTCGTGCATCATGTCTTACTGTGACAAAGCAAACGCAATCGCACCGCGCAGTCCGGCAAACCAGAGCACGACTTGCATCTGGCCAGTGACCTTTTCTTTGCGCTGGCAGTTGGCCAGCCAACTGAGGGGGAAAATGTTGAAGAGCCGTGCAACGAGACAAAACACGATGGCGAGCACCATAAACTTGACGTCCCATCGACCAAACTGGCCCACACAAATGCCCATCCCCATGTAAAGAAAAACAAAGAATTCCGCGACGAGCGCAAAGCTCTGGAAAATTGACTCGGACGTAATCTACCGTCGGTGGGGGTTAGCCAAGTGCCCGTAGATAGATGTCGGCGCAAGACGCGGCGACGGACAGTCGCCCGATTCGCATGATACACGAGCATCTGTGGAGATATACGGCCACGCCAGCGTACCTGGGACGTCGTCGAGAGGTTCGTCGTGTTGTAGTGGGCCATGGTAATCCCGCAGAAGAAGAGCGACATGATTCCAGACAACTTCATCACTTCTGCCAGCGAGTACGACCCGTACGCAAACAGAAACAGCATCGTAATCTCGTACTTGGGGTACTTTTTCAGGTTGGTGTTTTTGCACAGGAGCGCGCAGCCCAATCTAGATTGTCGTCAGCACATTCCTCGAGCTGTCTCCGACCAAACAAACACACTTCAACACTGAAGCTAGTGTGATGTGCCTACCCCGTGACAAAGCCAACCACGACAGATTCCAACGAGATGACGGTAAACTCGATCAGCAGCATCCATATCGCGCCATACGAGAATTCTTTGCCCGATTCTTCAAACTACACACGTCGATGGCAGAAGACAAAATGAGTGAAAGCAGGGCTTTTGTCTGGACTGTTTCCTGCCGTCGTACCTTGAGAAATGTGTTGAAGAGTACGATGGACACGGCGTCGTTGAGGACGCTCTCTCCAAACACGAGACTATGACAAAAGCGAGTGGGAATGACACGTGGCCCTGCGGCGCCGGGATGACCTCAATATCCCACGACGAGATGTACCTGTACAAAAGAGGATCCAAGTTGAGCTCGGGGTTACCCAGAATAGACAATGTTGCCACGGGGTCGACGGCCGAGATGAGCGCGCCAAAAAGTAGCGCCTCCAACGGGTTGGACGAATCGATGGCAATCCAATCCATCTAGTTTTGAACTTTAGACGTACGATAAGGCGTGTCACGTCGCAAGACGCACCTTCCCCGCGTAAAACGTCAGGAAGCCGACGACAAAGGTCGAGATCATCGTGCCGACGACAGCATACAGCAAAATCGTCCTAGGAGCAGCATTTAGATGCAGGTAGAGCTGATGGGAAGGAAGGAATGGACACGCACATGAAGTTGTTGAAAAATCGTTTCTACAAACGTCGCATGATATCGATCGATGCGGTGGGAAGGTGGATGACGAACGTACTCGATGCAGCGAATACCCAGCCTCGAAGATTATCGGAGGCAGTAGGAAGAAATAGAAGAGCAGTTTCTGCGGCACATACATGTCCATTCGTGAGAAAACGTAGCCCTTATCAGCCAAGGCAGCAAGCATCACGCACCTTGAACCGCAAGAAGTCCATCTCTTTTCGACTGGGGAAGAAAACTCTCGCACTAATGACAGCAGTGAGCGACGGCGCATGCATCGATACTCATGTACTTACCAAGCACCGACGATCAACCCAACAATCATCGCGGCGCCAGATTCCGGCAAGTAGTAGAACTTGTACTCCTTGATCAAATACGCGCACACGATGCACATGCCCAAGATCGTGACAAAGAGTAACGTATTGAGCGCGCCAAAGTCATGCAGGACTTCGACATTTGAAGCCTTCTCTGTTCGTATATGACGAAGGAACATTATGTGAGCCACCGTCCTTCCATTCCAGCTCACATTACCGATGATGTCGATGTCGGCCATGTAAGTGTCCCGCGCGAAGCTTTTCGGGAAGTGTGAACTTCATCGGAATTTTGATATTTGATAATATTAGTTGTAACAAGTCTTGGAATTGTGCAACGTGACGAAACGTCGCGACGGCGTCTTGAGCATGGACGATCCGGCAATCCAGGCGCGGCGGCATGTGACCTCCTCCGAGCACATTCGCATGCCACAGATCCAGAGTCCGCTGCGCCGAGCGGTGTCCCAACCGAGTATGCCCGGTGACGACCGACCGGAGAGCCTGCTACCAGACGAGAGCTTGTTCTTCACCCGTCCACCTGGCAAACCTCTGTCGGTGTGGGGCAGCAACGACGATGACAACACAGACTGCCCCAACTACCATGGGTCCATTAAAACGTACTCGAAGAAGCGCCCGCGGTCGCCCAGCGTCAACTCGAAGCTCAAGCCCATTTCAAACGACATGAAAAGTCCACGGTACAAGCTTGAACGAATGTCGATGGGCCATGATGCACACGTTGTTGCATGTAGACGCATGCGATCATTTCTGCTCAACTTTCTCGCAGACGACGTCGGCACGTTTCGGACTGAGATCAATCTGTATCAACATGCCGTCGACAGCGGCCTCGCCGTCACCGACGCCACCGTCCAGGAAGTTGCCCACCTCGTACCAGGTCTGACAAGCCTCGAGCTGAGCAACTGCATCGACGTCACGGACGCTGGCATTTGGTACACACTGCGTCCCTTTGCTTGCCTCCAATCATGTAGCATTTCCCGTGAATGTCTAGGTCCGTGGCGCGGCACTGCCCCGGGCTTACCGGCATCTACCTGAGCAAGTGTGAGAAAATCACCGACCTGGGCTTGCGCGTGCTTGCCCATCAGTGCCGTCTTGTCACGGTCGACTTGACAGACTGCGGGCAAATCGGAGACTTGGCTCTTGCCACCCTTGCCGCCGGCTGCTGGACCATCGAAACGCTCGTCCTTGCGCGATGCGTCGCCATCACTGACGCCGGTATTGCCAAGATTGCCCAATGCTGCAAAAGCTTGACGCACTTGGACGTATCCGAATGTGCGCACGTTGGTGAATTCGGCGACAAGGCGCTGGTGGAGCTCGGGAAATGGTGCAGTCGTCTACGGCATCTGGACTTGTTTGGGTGTCGCCACGTACGGGACATGGGCGTCCGTGCCGTTGCTGCCGGGTGTCCGCACTTGTCGACGCTCAAGCTCACGGGATGCAGAGATGTCTCGAGCGCGTCGATTCATGAACTGGCCGACCGGTGCCATGCCCTGGAGCGGCTGTCTCTGGCAGGATGTATTCGCACGCAGAACGATGACCTCCTCCGACTCGCGAAGTCGTGCACGTGTTTAAAGTGGCTCGACATTAGCGGCAGTCCAAACATCACGAACCGAGGCGTCGCCGCTCTCGCGCAGCACTGCAAAGCTCTGGAGCATCTCAACTTGTCCCAGTGCCCGCACGTCAGCGACAAGGTGTGCATGGGCTTCTCGCAACTCGATGGAAGAGAGGAGTCCTCACAGTCGTTGGTTTCACTGCAGGTTTTGCAAACCATGGCCCAGCACATGACGTCGATCACGTCGCTGTCACTTGTGGACTGCGGTCGCATCACGGAGGCCGGGATCGACGCACTCACGACCGCATGCACTAAGCTCTTCACACTCAACATGACGAATTGCCAGCATATTCGACGGCGGTACCTTCATCAACTGGTCGAGCGCCTCGAGTTTGTCGACTGGTCTAGCACGTTCTTTGGCATTGAGCCGTTGCCGAACGCCATGGAGCTGCAAGTTCTGGTGGGGCCGTCCATCCCATCAGACGACTTCTTCACTTCAAACGAAATCTGTCTAGAAAGAGCGGCGGCTTCACAGACAAGCGAGCGCAATCAAGATTCAAGCTGTGATGCGGGGATGTTTGGCGCGAGGCGGCATCCACGGCGCCTTACTGCGACGTGTTGTGCGCGATGTCCTGCCCAAGATTCAAGCACGTGTCCGGGGGTTCCTCGCGAGAGCGGCCTACCGCCGCACACGCCTTGCCATCGTGCAGCAAACCAAGTCCTGTGTCATACAGCGCGCCTATCGATATTATAAGGTCAAACAACTGTGCCGTCGCGCGCGTCGGCTCATGCGGATTCGGTTGAATGAGGAGGCCGCGGCGTTGATCTTTCAAAAGGTACAACATATCTGTGGTCCCGTCTCTCGGTCGAACGAGATGAGCAATCGAAGTAGATCTTTCGAGGCCATCGCGACCGCGTCTTTGTCCACCGCATGCGCGATGAATTGCGACGCATTGCCCAGCTTGACTCACGACGTCATGCCATGACGGAAGTCGCCGCGATTCGTCTCCAACGTCTCTGGCGTGGTCACAAAGGTCGCGGTGACGTCGCGTTGCGGAAGAAGCTCATCGAGATGCAGCGCCTCCAGGAAGCGAAAGAGCACGCAGCGGCAAGTTACTTGCAGCGCATCTACCGCGGCCACAATGGCCGCAAAGACTTTGCAAAACGTTTGGTCGAGCGCGAAAAAGTGCGAATGCTTCACGCTCGCGCATCACAGATCCAACGGGCCCATCGGAACCACGTGGCGTGGGAAGCGCGAAAGGTCCGGTTGGTGAAGGAGGCGGAGGCACAAAAGTTGCGGGCGGTAATCCGCATCCAGAAGAACTGGCGAGGGGTGCGGGAGCGCCAGTTGGGGACCATCATGCTCGGCCTCGTCCAATTGCGGCGCCAGGAGGACAAAGCAGCCCGGATTATCCAGAGTTTGTGCCGGGGGTACGTCTCACGCAACTTCATGAAGGCAATGAAGATGGTGCTGGCCGCCCAGGAGCGCCGCGACCGGAGTATTCTGCTGCTCCAACGGATATTCCGGGGATACAAGGGACGCGAGGCGGCCGAGGTCAAGTTCGAGCTGCGCAAGCTCGAGGTCGTGGCGAAACCCCTTTTCATCAAGATTCACACGTATTCCGGTCGAGTGGCCGCGCTGTCAGCGAAAGTCGACGCGTTGCGGCGATCCCTCGCGACGGATCAAGCTGACGAAGCCGAGTTGGCACTCGAGCTGGACAAGACCATGACGATCAAGTCCAAGTTTCACGATTCCGCGCGAATCACGGGGGCCAAGCAGCGATACTTGACGCGGTACCTGCAAGTGCAGCTCGCGGACCAGCTCCAGAAGAAGCGAATGGCCGTGGCAGTGCACACTCGCAACCTGGAGGTTGCTGTGGGAGAATACAGCGAGGCCGAGAAACAGCTCCGAATTGCCAAGCGCGAGCTGCAGCCGTTGACGGAGGGCGTCGAGCGCAAGACCAAGGAGAACAGGGTGAGGAGGTTGCAAGTCAAGGTGCGGCGCGAGAAGAAGGCGGCGACGGCCATCCAGCGTCACTTCCGAGGGTACCGCGTCCGCGCAGCGGTCGGCGAAGGCGCGAATCGATGGCTCGAGCTCTTTGACCCGACGACGAATCGAAAGTACTACTACAACGCGTGGAACCAAGTTCGTCGCGAGGTGCGCCCCCTCGCTATGGACATCTTTGGCGATGGCTTTGTTCAGCCGTTCCGCGCCGACGCTGCCATGAAGGACTGGTTCCAGTGCCTCGATGAATTGTCGGGGTCGTTTTACTTCTACAATTGCCGCACCCACGAGTACCGGTGGGATGTGCCCACGTCAGATCAAACTCGAGACGTATTTGAAGCGCAGCCGCACGACCAGCTCACGCAGCGGTCGACGTCGCGCCGGTCCATCGGCAAGTCGGCTTGGAAAGAGCTTGTTGACTCGGAGTCGGGGGTTGTCTACTATCATAACGCACAAACCGGCGAGAGCGTGTGGTCGCTGCCACCGCAGCAAGTGTACGGCGAAAACGGAGGTGGCTTAGGGCGGAGCCAGGTCTCTGTGGGAGGGAGCACGACGCGTCGGCGTCTGCGCACAGCATCAAGCTTGAACCAGCAACCATCCCTTCAATGGCAGTACTATTACGGGTACGATGTGGCGCATAACACTGGACTTGTGACGAAGCGATCCGAGCCGCGCAGTCCGTGGGTCGAAATGTTTGACGAGACGTACCAGCTCCCGTACTACCACAACGTGTTGACCCAAGAGTATCGATGGACGAAGCCGGACGAATTCGACGAGCTGCTGCCGGAGGGCACGGTGCCGGGGCTATCTCCTGGTCACGAATGGTTTGACCACCAAGACAAGGAGCAACTGTCGTCAAGGTCGCACGTGGCCAAGCGAGAGATCGGCGCGCAGTGGGCCGAATACGTGGACATAGACACGGGACATGCGTACTATTTCAACACCGTCACGGGAGAAACCCGGTGGAGCTTGTCGCCGCGAAGTGCCCGCGAGGACCCACCGATCGGCGCCCAGACTCGCATGCCCTTGACACTCAAGGCGAAGCTCGCGTCGTTCAACGCGTCGACGCCTGTCGAGTACGATGGCAGAGGAGATCATGTCGCGTGGCTGTTCGATTCGATTGAAGCCAAGGAATGGGTCAAGGCCGAAGGGATCCTCGAAGAGATCTTGGCCAAAGAGCAAGGACAGACTGGATGGCAGTACGTTGCTGCGACGATCAGAGAAGACGGCACACATCAAGAAGCGTATTGGTACAACGCGACAACGGGCGAGTCCGCTCCAGGGTAGGGAACGTGTCGGCGGCATGGTTGGCAAGAGCCTAGCTCCACCGTCCATATCTCGAGCCGGTGCAGATACTCATCGACACCAGTAATACAGTGGGCATCTCGTTCCTGTTGGCGCACGATAGTGGCTGGTGTTGTCGCATTGACTTGGGTGAACAGGGGCCACGACGCAAGCACGACTGGAGCAGCACACACTGCAGGTGCGAGTCCCAACGCCTGGAAACACTTGCAATTCTGTCGCGTTTGATTCATAACTTCGGCGGCGAACCAGTAGTCGCTCCAACAAATGGTCGATCCAGACCCCATGCCGAAGAAGAGCGCAAACACCAGGAGGGCACCCGCGGACTCGCGGTCTTCGTGGGCGACAAGGGTGCCCAGGGGCGAAGCGCAAGTAAAAGGTTACGTCGACAAATCCCGGTTGTCAACCCAATCCACACGTTCAACCTGCCAAAATAGGCCAAACCCACGGGCTTGTCAAACGCACACCACAAGTTTGTCGGGCTCGCCAGGGGCCAGCGCCAGGCGATCGAGAACAGGACCAAAACCTTCCAGCGCTGCCACCTCAGACGAAAACACTACGCCAAGTCGTAGCGACAAAGAAGCGTCGACCCCACGGGACAGCCGGCAACAGCGCGGTAGTTGTACGACGAGAAGTTTCCGGGACGCAGTACCATGCCACCCACGACTCAACAGCGCCATATTGGAACCAGAATTAGCACCCTTTGGCGAGGAAGCCCGTGAGCGACACGACACGAATGGGAGCGCAATGACTTCGGTGGTCCGCCACAGCCGACTGACGCGATGGCCAAGCGTCTCGCGCAGCTGGCAGCGGCGATCTATCTCGGCCCCGTTACGACGGGCAAGGTGCTGATTGCCTCCGACGCGGAGGATTAGGTGAACACGACCACGGCGGCAAAGCAGACTACGATGAAATGCTGAAGAAAATGTAAATCCGCACCTTACTGATGCGGGTCACGTCGGTTGGCGTTGGTGCTGTTCCGCCCATGCGGAGGCGGATGAGCGTGATATTGATCGCGCCTAACACACCGTTGCCCAATTGATTCGCGATGGTAAAGGACGGGTCAGCGAAGAGGACCGAGAGCACGTTATATGTCGACTCGAGCAAAGTGTTAATGGCCCCGACAAGATCGAACGAGATGAGTACGAGCATGGCGCCCGTGTTCGGGGACGTAGCAAACGTTTCCTGTGCAAGACGTGGCAACGCACACGAGATTAAGAGGCAAGAGCCCACACACCCGGTACCGCATGTCGAGCTTCCTGTCCCAGGCAAAGAAGATTTGGTGGGTGTGGCCGACAGTCATGGGCCATGTCGACACGGGGGTCGTCGAGAACCAAAGTTTTCAAAGCTCGCCGCATGCAAGGACAAGAGAAGCTCCGTCAAATGTTGAGATTTGAGACAAGTATACCCACCTTCGTAATCGAATCCACCAATGTTGTCCAATCAAATGCAACTATTTCACAATTATTGGCCATTTTTATGCTTTCTTTAAGTGTAACAAAGCATTTCAACCGATCAACCGCAAGCATCACCGCGGTCTAATGACGGCACGACCGCGCTCTCCGATAGATTGTGCTGTAGTAAAGGAGTCCCCGTGCTACGCAAGCCCCGCCATGGTCACGTATTTCAGCTCAGTGTAATCGTCCTAGGCATATCACGATTTCAAACTATGCGCAGTGGAAAGCAGAGGTGAGATCGTACCAGCCCCACAATCGACCCTTCCCGACCTTGCCCGGACTGCTTGATACCACCAAATGGTGCCTGCACCGCGGATATCATGCCAGCATTTATGCCCACCATGCCCGTTTCCAAAACTTCCGACATACGCCAGGCTCGACCCAAGTCGGACGTGTAGCAATACGCTGCTAGTCCAACGTCCGTTGCGTTGGCCATTTCAACCACGTCGGCTTCCGTGTCGAACGACAGTACAGGCACAACGGGCCCAAATACTTCTTCGTTTGCGATGTTCATGTCCATCGTCACCTTGGAGAGTACGGTCGCTTGCATATAGTTTGGACCGAGGGCAGCATGCGGGCGGCCTCCCACCACCACCTGCGCGCCAGCTCGTTCCGCTTGCGAGACCAGTTCCATTACCTGCGTGGCACAAATTGAAAAAAGTTATGCCATGCACCCACGTGAATACCTTGTCGACAGCCGTTGGCGTGATCAACGGCCCCAGGTTGCACCCCGACGACACAGCGTCGCCAAGCGTCAAGTCAAGTACCCGATCGACCAAACGGCCTGTGAACTCTTCCAAAATGCTTTGCTGAACGAACACGCGGTTTGGGCACACGCACGTCTGCCCCGTGTTGCGAAACTTCGCTTGAATCAAACCGGCAACCGCTTCGTCTAGGTTGGCGTCGTCAAATACAATGAAAGGCGCGTTGCCGCCCAGTTCCATCGACACACGCTTCATCGTAGTGGCGCACTGCGCTGCCAGGAGCTTGCCGACCGACGTCGAGCCAGTAAACGACAACTTGCGCACCTACACCGTCACTGTCGTTTCAGCCAGCGTCGACACGCGTACACGATCAAGTGAGATGGCTACCGTGGGGTGGGTGGCCAAGGCGCGTCCAATGCGTGGTGCAGCATCGTGGGTGGCTGGAACCACGTTCAGGACACCGTCGGGCACCCCTGCCTCATGGCCCAACGTGGCAAAGGCAAGCGCCGACAGTGGCGTCGTGCCCGCAGGCTTGACAACTGCCGTACATCCGGCGGCCAACGCAGGCGCAACTTTACGGGCCAACATCCCAATGGGAAAGTTCCAAGGCGTGATCATAGCGCACACGCCGACGGGTTGGCGTATGGCCATTAGCCGACGGCTAGGGACGTGGTTCGGGATCATGAATCCTTCATAGCGAAGGCATTCGTGCGCAAAGAAGCGCAGGTAGTCAGCAGCATACGCGACCTCGCCAGCCGCTTCGACCAACGGCTTTCCGCTCTCGGTGGCCATGATGACCGCTAAGTCTTTGGTGTTGTCACGAAGGAGTTGGTCCCATTTCTGTAGCACTTCAGACCGTTCAAACGGCGTGCGAGATTTCCACGCGGCCAGCGCTTCGCCAGCAGCTTCCACGGCGTCATTCGTATCTGTCACGTCCATGGCTGCAATCGTGCCCACTGTGGCGCCATTCGACGGATTCTGAATGTCGTACGTCTCACCTACGCGAAGCTTAGTCTGCTGCATGAACCGACAAACCAACCCGAAGCGGCATTGACCCAACTTCCACCAATGTAGCCTTGTGCATGAAGGAGGTTCGGGCGCTGAAGGCGGCCCATAAACGTCGCGAGCACCCTCGACATGGCACTTCACAAAATTCCGCGGTCTCAGTGTTGTGTGTTCCAGTTGCTTTTGCTCAAAATACACCAACGGTGTGATGACTAACATTGCACATTTTGAGCCATCGCCTCCATCACTCAGACAGCGTCACTTCCGGTACGACTGGCGCACTAAAGAGTACGCTGCCTCTTTAAACGTTCTTGATCTCGGCAGCGCCCGCGCGCGCAGTCCCTCGGAGGTTTCGCCGCCCAACAGGTTCCGGGGGCATCCACATCCCCCATGATGATATATAATAGACAATAAATGATCAATAGCGAATAGATGAATCTCTATCTCCCTGAATTGCCAGCAACAACGAAAGGAATACTAGTATGCATCATCGTAGAATGATATAGATGAGGAATGCTTTATTCACATCTCGTCGTAGCTGACACACCAGGGGTGCGAGTGGTACGGACAAGCATTCGAAACAAATACCGTCAAGCAACTGACCATCGTTTTTGGCACGAGGAAGATGACGCCGACGAAGGTGTCCTTGGGTCGGAGGAACGTATTAATAGAATAAATTGCGATGCGGGCGCTATGGCCCCGTGGACAGCAGCATCGAGATGTCGCTTCGGTTGCTTGGACGAGTCGTCCGCGGAGAGTGGCTTCGCGGGACGTCGTTGTCCTCCAGTCTTTCAATATCCTCCACGGCAGCAGCCCCGCGCGTGTGCCTGCGTTCGATGTCGACAAGGCCGTTGTCCGCCAAATGCGCGCCATTGAGCACTTCCGCCGCCAGATTCACGTCCCCGAGCAATTTGATGAGGGGGTTGACGAAATCGATCACGACGTCGTGTCGGATGATGCGGCCGTCCCCGTCAAAATACGAGTGGACTGTGTCGAGCGCATCGACTTCGAGGCCAATGAGGTGCTGCACGAGGGACTCCCGACTCAGCACATGCGGGTACAATGTTTCCAGTGTGTTTCTTGAAGTGCGGACGATGTAGCGCGAGACAGCGCGGACGACGACGCCGTCTTCCTCCTTCATGTATTCACAACTGACAGGTCGGATGCGCAGGGAATGGTGAGACGTTGTCATGAGGCGCCATTGGTCCACAACACTCTCGGCGCCCTGGGCGTTCATAAAGCTTGTCGAGGTTGTCATGATCTTCCGAACGAAGTCATATTGGAATTGCTGTTGGACGGGGCACGTTGCGAACCCGTTCTGAAACACCTGATAGTACTGTTCAATGATGCGGACGGCCGCGTTGCCTCGGAACACGGACGCAGGCTCCCTCGCAACGAGCGCGCTGCCAGCTAGGACGTCCAATCGCCTCTGGAGTTCGTCGATATCGTGGGTCGCTGCTTCGTTGGCTTTCATGAGGTCTTGCGCTAGTTTGTGTTTCTTCAGACGACTGTTGCGCTGATTAAGCTTCCACTGAATGCGCCGCTTCTCCTTGAGCTCATCGTCTGCGTCGGCGTTGGCCTTCTTGCGCTTCTGCGCCACCATCTCGTCTCGTTTTGTGCATGCAGCTCTTCTGTTAGCAAGGGTGTTGTCACTGGGTAGGATATTAGCCAATCATGTTGCACTATACAGAAATATTGACCAATCCAATCGTGAGATTCGGTGAAATGACTCATGGGTGAAGACTTGATCTCTCAGCAACTTCAAGTGAAAAAGCGTATGCAGGTAAAAACGCGTCATAACCTGTCCACACTGGACGCAGTAATCGCACTTTAATAGGTTTAACGTTGACGTTTTATGAAACCGCTTGCGTTTTATTAGTCACTTTTACGCGACTGAACAGGTCAAAGATACTCGAGATCCCACGAACCCTTGTGGCGTTTGGCTTGGCACCGCTGCCTCGGATCCCTTGCCACATGCATGAATCAAAGACGTGTGCGGCTGCATTGCTTTCTATGCCTTCTTGCCTGGACCAACAGTCGCCTTGGGCGTCGCATCGCCCTGGCACACAAGGAAGGTAGACACCAATAGAGACAGTCGTTTTGCCGGTTCGATGAGTCACCAAAGGGTGTAACCAGCCGAAGAAGTCGCATCCCAAACACTGGCTCACGAGTTCAGTGTTTTCACGGGTAACAGCGCTACGTATCAATAGTTTTTCTGCTAGTGGATGGATGCCTGAATGCAGTGAAGGTCCCGGCTTGCTTGAGCGATGGAATGGTGACCGTGAATTGCAATGAGTTGCCAAAACTTGAGGTCGAAGAGGAAGAATTCGTCTTTGAAACGAATGGACAGATTGACGTTGATCACGACAGGACGATGGGCATTCAGTAGTGCACCTGCAACCACATCAATAGCTCCACGTGAAGCGCATTCTTGTGCAGGTCACGGTGGGCAGGACAATTGCTTCGCAATCGACCCACGCAGTTGTGGCTGATAATCGTCCGCCAAGTACGATTATGAGAGCCAAGATGGTATGACGGCCTTCGGTGGACTAAGGTGGGGATGCCGCGCTCTCTTGTACGGATAGCACACCACAATTGAGGGCAAACCTCAGCCATGAGTCTTCTTCGGCCGCCAGGATTGTCTTGATATGCATGCGAAAACGGACGTCCTGGGCAAATGTCTCGTCGATGATCGCGATCGCTATGTGGTGCACGTTGTAGACGGCCCAAGTCAACACCTCTTGAGCCCAACGTGGCACACACGTGCTGCTCGAGCAGGTACGCCAAATGAACCACTCACATCGACTACATGCAAGACCTCTTGCTGCACACTCCTGTGTGCAACGGTGACGGTGGCGACGTGTGGAGCAACGAATCTCCTTAAAACAACAACACCAGGGCACTCGTCGCGCAGTCCGTTGAGTGAAACGTTGTCACATGGGAGCACAGGTCATTCTGGTCGTCATGAGATTCGTTCGGACGCACTATTCGCGACCCAGCGCTGCCATCAGTACGGCCGTCATACTCGTATCGATAACTTTTCGCCTATGGCCAAGCTAAATGAAAGAGAGCTGCTCGTTCATCGAAAGCGCAAGCGAGAGTTACGCGAAGACAACGTCGACGTCGATCTGGACAAGCGGGGCCCTGTCATTTCATGGCTTGCCGTTTCCTTTCTGACCATGTTTGTTGATTGAATGGAATGTTCACAAAAGGCAAAGCGGGCGTAAAGTAAACACAGGTGATACACCAGCATGGACGAGGAGGTCGCGACGCCCCATAGCTCAAACCCGAATAGATTTCTAAACTTGTCTGGCGTCACGACTATCGTCTCAAACACTGTGAGCTCATGCGCTTGACACTTTGCCAGGAGATTTTGCTGGAGAAATTTCAGTCACGCCGCGTTGAGGAGAATGATGGCTGACATCTTCGCAGGACGAGGAATGGCCACCCGAGGCAATGGGCACGGACGATGCGTTTAAACTGGAACAAGTTGCCATTGACGATTCGACTTCTGACTAGGATAGTGCACAGCATCCGAAAATACCCGACATCTACCAGCATATATGTGACAACGCTCGACACTACAAGCAGATACTTACGCGAGCAATACGGGCTTCAAGCTCTTGCCCTTACGTTTGCGAGAGGCGCGTCCTATCCGAGATGAGCCATCACGCGCCATGGACACCCACGAAAGTCACCACCTCCCATGTCGTTCCCAGATTGACAAGTGATGCTCATCGCTCGTCTATATCCCCCCACTCATTGCTCGTCGGGTTTCGTCGGACATCGAGTACGACATACAAATGAAACCGCTATCTTTTCGTCGAGTTGGACAAAACGTTTGTAACCGCTGTTGTCACGTAACTGCCCTGACATGACTGCCCTCCCGTGATATCAAGTGGAACGACCGCATAACCATTGCTTTATCCGAATTGATGATGATTGGTCAAAATTCAGCGAATCAAAGCGGAGCTCCGACGTTGGAGATGGCAATTCCAGCAAGAGCATGTTGCACGTCTTGTATGGAAGCGCGACAGGCACCGGTCAGGATGTGGCCGAGCAGATCGGCCGCATGGCCACCGCCAGGCACATCCCAGTGATCGTTTCCTCTATGGATGCATTCGACATTCACCAACTGCCTGCGCTTAGCCATGTTGTGTTTGTCGCGTCGTCGACAGGCGACGGCGAAGCACCTGAAAACATGACGAGCACGTGGAAATTCCTTCTGCGGAAAAGCTTGGCGGCAGATTCGCTACAAGCTATGAAGATGGCTGTGTTTGGCTTGGGCGACTCCAGTTACGCTAAGTACAATGCAGTCGCCCGACGCCTGCATGCCCGGCTGCTTCAACTTGGTGCAGTCGACATCATCGGCCGCGGCCTTGGCGATGACCAGCATGAGCTTGGCTATCACGGCGCATTAAACCCATGGCTCGATAAGCTGTGGTCGGCATTATTGCAAATGGAACCCTTCATTCTGCCACCTGGTTTCGTCGTTGACGACAGCCCAAAGCCAACGCCACCAAAATACGTTGTACAAATCGTGACCGACGGAGCTGCCCTTACGAACGTGCCTGACACTCGCCATACGTTTTACGACCAACCCAAGACTGCATTGGATGGCAGTCACCTCATCCAAGCCACGTTGACTAAGAACGAACGACTCACTGCCGCCGACTGGACGCAGGATGTTCGCCACATCGAGCTGGCATTGCCCGCGTCGTCACCCACGTACTCTGCTGGCGACATTGCACTCCTATATCCTGAAAATGTTCAAACCGAAGCCATCGACTCGTTTTTAAACATGACGTTGCAATTGCCTCCCTCCACGCAACTGTTCATCCGCCGCATTGATGGCAAACCGTCTGGCCTGCCGTCGCGGTGCACGGCAGAAGAGTTGATGCGACAGTATTTGGACGTGTTTGGGACGCCGCGGCGATCGTTCTTTGAGCGGCTCTCGCTTTTTACGCAAGACCCCGACGAGGTAGACACGCCTCCCTGGTTTTAGCGTCCTGTCGTCATGATCGTTTGGTGGCTGTTATGCAGAAGGAAAAACTCATGGAGCTCAGCGCTCCGGAAGGGGCGGATCTCCTGCAGGACTACTGCGCTCGCGAACGCCGAACCTACATCGAGGTACCCCAAGCCGATTGCGACGTCCCACTCATCTTGCGGCTTGATTGGTCATGCAGGTGCTGCAAGACTTCTCCACTTGCCACGTGCCGTTGGAGTTCCTCGTAGAGTTGATTCCGTGCCTGGCGCCGCGCGCGTATTCGATTGCATCGTCGCCAAATGTGCACCCTCGCCAGGTCTGCTGCTTGTCCTCCTGTGACACGTCACGACGACCATCTACAGGTGCATTTGACAGTGGCGATCGTCGATTACTTGACGCCATACAAACGACACAAGAAAGGCGTGTGCTCCGCGTGGCTGGAAAAGTTGGAGGCCGGCGCGACCGTCCCAATGAGGATCAAGACGGGGCTTTTCCGCCTCACTTCAGCGATTCATTCGCAAAATGTCATCTTAATCGGACCAGGGACCGGCATTGCAGTCATGCGCGCCATCGCCCAAGAGCGCCAGGCCCAGCGCACCCATGGCACGTCCGTCGGCGACACGCATGTCTACTTTGGGTGCCGCCATAGGGACAAGGTACCAATTGACTCGACTGGTGGTTGACTAATGGCCGATAGGATTTCTTGTACGGCGACGAGTGGGCACAATTCGCGGAAAGTGGTGGTATCACATCGTTCAATGTGGCGTTCTCGCGCGACCAGGAAGACAAAGTCTACGTGCAAGCCAAGTTGGCGGAGCAAAAGGCAGCCGTTTTTGCAGTGCTTTCCCAGGTATATTGATGATACCAATGCCACTTGTGGATCGAAGTACTGTGTAGGGCGGGTATTGCTTCATCGCGGGGTCGGCGAAGCGCATGCCGTCGGATGTGTACTCGATCATTAGGGACATCATCGTGAGCGAAGGCCGCGTGTCTGGCAAGGAAGCGGACGCTATGATGAAGTCACTAGTCCGACAGAAACGCTATATTGTCGGGTCATGGTCGTAATGCTGCCGACTTCGATCGAACCACTTGAACAATGCAGGCCATTCATACCTTGGAGGTAATAGAGCGGTAATTGTAGTTGTGGTTGCACACGTCGCTGTATGGAGCACTCGGATAATCAGAGGTATCACAGGGATGGCTTTGCCCATGCCCGCATTCTGGATGACGTGGCGTACTTGCTGCATTGGAAAATATACTAGTATATAAATATGAATTTTATAATGCATGGAGCCGTCCTGCATTTGCTTTCGACCTAAGCTCGAATCGTGAAATAGTTGGAGTCGACGCCATGGCGGCCATCCATCGACAAGATGCGCAGTATGTAGTCGCCGCCCGTGGGAAGCGTTGATGGCACATGGGACACGACAAAAAAACCATTGTTCTCCACGTGATCTGCGAGAAGTGTGCACGTGTGGGGATTGCTCGAGCGCAAGAGCACGAGCCGCACTTCCGGGATGACTGACCCTGATGTGCATTCCCATTGAATGATGGCTGTTTCGCCACGATGCCACACGGTGGTGAAACTTGGCGAAGTGATGTGAAATGCCTTGGCCTCGGACGACTTGTCTTGCAGAAACTTGCTGCTTGGCATGCTCAAGGTGCGACTAAGGTGCGCGGAGTTCGGCGGCGGCGGACTCAACATCCGCATGAACGACACAGTTGCGATGTGGCATATTGCTACCTGTCACATGCGGCATCATCCACCAATGCCAAGTTCGCACGTTGGCACTTCTTTAACGAATTCAACAACGGCACAATGAAAAAACACAAAGGTGAGGTGCGGACGCCATGGCACCACGGGGTGATGGATGCCGAGCTAAAGACACGAATCGTTGCTGTTTTTAAGGACGCGGCAAGACGACAACTCGGCTCAAACTGTTGTCTGGCTGGCCGATGTTTGAGCCTCTTCGGCGAGCTTAACCTCGGCTTAATGAATCACTTTCCAATATGCACTCTATTGCCAAAGGTTCTTCTAATTCTTAGCGAGCCCATCTCTGAAGGATTTGACCATCATTCCTTCCGTTGCATAAAATAGTACAGGGAACGACTTTTCACCGTTGTCGAAGGAAATTGTCTAAAAATTTGAGTTTGACAAGAGAGAACAACGATCGAATGGTGTGCCAGCCGAAGATTTGACATTGACAACTCTACTTTTGTCTAATAATAATCCTTACTAGAATAAGGCAATATAATTGGCTATTATTCATCAATTCATCAGATGAGAGTTCCGAAAGACTATGATCTGCAGTAATGAGTAAACAGAGGTCATCTTACAATGACACAGTGCACTTTCCTTTCATAACCTCCAACAATATTTGAAAACGCAGTCATCCAAGATCAAAAGAATATCGATTGGTTACTATTAACAGAAAATTAAGGCGTAGTTCCAATTTCCCGGCCCAATCATGCTCCAGTCTTCTGAAATTCATCGAGGACCACTATATTGTAGAATTCCGTCGACCACTGAATATGTTTTGTTGAAAATTTAATCATGAAGATGATCGGGACTGACCTGTTATTGGTCAACATCTTGTGATTTTGAAAATATACATGCCCTCCACGACCAAATCATATAAAACTAAAGCGGACGTATTACTGTACTATGTAGATCGATGCCCGGCCAAGTAGGCATGAAACTTTATAAGTTAGATTCCACCAAGGGTGCGTGTTGTGTGCAGTGAGCGACGGAAAAATGTCCACAGTGGTAGTTCACAACAAATTCGTCATATCAATACTGTATAGTTACAGCATTCAATCTGCAAAAAGTAATTGAGGTGTATTTAGTCAATGGGTGACAAATGCTTTCACGACCTAGTACCTGATATCATGCATAACATATAGTTGGAGGTTCTATCAAATTAATGTATTAACCTGCTGACTTCATCTTTGTTGTACCAATACTACTCTGGTCCGTAATGTTTGTCCCATTGACCTTTCGATTGGCGGGATTTTTCTCATTTTGGCTGTATTTTCGATCTGATTGGTGCAATCGAAAGCGCAAGATAAGTCCTTTGATTGGCTGGTTTCAAAACAAACCAATAGGTTTCAATTACCAAGATATAGACCACCAAAGCGGCGGGAGCCAAAGCAGCTCAACATTTTGACCTGTCACTCATTCATTTCAGAATTTCCACTAACTCAAGACACCCACGCGCATCCCACTAGCCCTCTACACACTGCCACAACGCCAGCGTTCCCATGAGTTCATTACCTGACAGCGTCAGACGCACAAAGAACCTCACGGCCGACCAGAGGCGCGGAGCCTATGAGAGCCTCCTAGAACTCTCTGTCTGCGGCAAGCTTCCGTATGGGGCTTTCAAGGCCCAGCCCCAGCTGCATGACTGCAACTGGCGACCATAGCTCGCCTGTGGAAGCAAGGACGCAGCTCCTTTGCCGACGGACGCGCCATCGCCGCGATCGGGTCAAAAATCAGTGGTAAAACCTTTATAAATCCATATTATGTCTTTTT